TGTTGTTTTCCAGACACAACAGGGCAATTGCATATATAAACTTAGAGCAATTATGACAAGATGCACAACACCTGTGCCAGCTCAAGCCGGACAGTCTCAGCATGGAGCAGGGAGCGTGGTCCTTAACTCCCACCCCTAGCAGCTACGGAGCTATTGGCATTTGGTAGCTACTAGCAAAAAGAGAGAGAGTCATTTTTCTTTAATGGTGTGACAACATTCTAGGGCAGGCCCCAAGAATATTTGAGCAACAAATTAGACTCAATGGGAGTTAAAAAAAAAGACAAACAAAAAAGGTGGGTGGAGAGAGATATGAGGGTGGAGAGGGTACGTTTAAGCAAGTGCTGGGGAAGATGTGTGTGAAAATAATTAAAGTCCACTGTGTAAAATTTCTCCAATAATTAATGAAAATATTATTAAAACGAACAAAAACCTAACATATTTGTGCTGTATAGAGAACAAAGTGAGATGAACTCAATCAAAGCCACCTGAGTAATTTCAGTTTTCCGGAGATGAGGGCTAGGCAACACAAACTACAATATCCTTTAATCTCTGTGTGTTACCTTATAATATGATAGAATGGAAGTCAGGAAGGTGATCCATTCGATTTTTTACAGATAGCACAAAAACTTTTGTTTTGCTCTACTTAGCATTTTATTATTGTTGTGGCATTTTGCAATTTTACAGTAAATTTTGAAATTTTTTTTGTTGTGTGAAAAATCTCATCAATAGATGCAGAGAAACATTTAACGAACTTTAACATTCTTTCATGATAATTGTTTTTTAATAACTTAGATATAGATGTGCTGTACCCTAACACAACAGTGTCATATAGCAAAGGCCACAGCCCGTATCATACTCAGTGGTGGCCTATTGAAGGCCTTTGTTATGAAATAAAGATAAAGACAAGACTGTGTGCTGTGGGATAATGCTCTTGTACACTGTAAAGATTTTTCACTTGTGTTAGTTTAATAAAACTCTGATTGGCCAGTAGCCAGACAGGAAGTATAGACAGGGAGACCAGGTTAAGAGAATTCTGAGAAGAAAGGCATAGAGTCAGTCACCAGCCAGACACAGAGGAAGAAAGATAAGAATGCCTCACTGAGTAAGGTACCAAGCCACATGGCTAAACACAGACAAGAAGTATGGGTTAATTTAAGTTGTAAGAGCTAGTTAATAATAACCCTGAGGTAATAGTCCAGTTTATAAGTAATATAAGCATCTGTGTGTTTATTTGGGATTGAACAGCTGTGGGACCAGGCAGGACAGAAACTTATGTCTACAACTGGGAGATTTGATAATAGGATAAAAAGTATCAGATTGGAGGAATAAATCAAGATGTTTTTTGTATAAGATGGGAATTATGTTAATAACAATGTACTGTATACTTAAAAAAATTTTAAGACAACGGATTTGAAGCATTCTTTGCACAAAATGACAAAATTGGTAGGTAGCATATTAAATAGACTGAATTAATCTTTCATAAGGTATACAAGTATTAGGCCATTATGCTGTCTATTATAAACATATACAAACTTAAAATTTTGATTTAGAAACAAGCAAAAATGTAAACAGATGCTTTTTTTTTGTGTTGTCTGCTCCTCCCCTGGGTGCTACAGCCACTTCTAAACACTCACTCAGAGACTTAATATTAATTATAAACCACTTGGCCTAATACTTCAGGCTTATTACTAACTAGCGCTTACATTTAAATTAACCCATTTCTATTAACCTATGTATTGCCACATGTATGTGGCATTACCACTCTACCGGCATCTTGCTTCTTGGGCAGCTGGCTGGTGTTTCCTCTCTCTCCACTCTTCTTTTTGTATCTATGTTTGGATTTTCTGCTTGGTTCTATTCTGCCTTGCTAGAGGCCAAAGTAGCTCTTTATTAACCAATGGTAATAAAACATATTCACAGCATACAGAAAGGTTATCCCACAGTACAAAAACATTGTTTTATATTATGTAGCATAAAATTAACCAATTAGCCATTTCAGGGTTTGGTTGCATTTAATACATTCACATTGTTATCCAAAGGTCATTTATATCTAATATTAAATATTGTCTTAATTCCAAAAGGAAACCTGAACATATTTAGACTTCCAGTTAGTTTCTCCTTTTGTCCTAATTATTCCCAACCACTAATTTGCTTTTGATTTGTATGAATTTTCCTTCCATGGATATTTCATACTAAATGATGACAAATAATATGCGACCTTCTGTGTAAGGCTTTTTCACTTAGCATAATACATCTAATATTCATTTACATTGACGTATGTTTCATCACCAGATTTCCTTCTGTTGGATGGTTAGAGTACATTGTATTTAGATGTTCATCAACAGATGGACAGTTGGGTGGGGATTTTAAATAATATTTCTATAAACAAATGTTTATAGTAACAAACCTTTTATGCTTTACATATGTTCGAATATTTTTAACTATTTCTAAAAGATTCTACATATAGAAAGTGAATTTCTATGGCACATGATAACTTCATATTTAAACTCTAAGGAAATGCAGAACTGCTTTTTAAAAGATGTACACTATTTTTATATTTTCACTAAGAAATGCATTTTACTAATCTCCCCACATTCTCACTAGCAAAAAATTTATGATTTTATGAATTATTATAGCTATGCTGATGACAGTTAAGTGTATTAATTTTGCATTTCCCTACTGACTAGTGATGCTGGCCATTGCCAGGAGCCATTTCAGGCTTCTCCTTTCTCACAGGCCCTTGAAGTAAAAACTTTGAGACAGAAAACTTAAAGTTAACCAAAACATTACGTGCTAACCTTGGAGACTCAAGCTCTGGAAAGCACCACAGAGTGTCTTCACAGCTTGCTGCTTATCACTAAGAGCAGGTGTTCTAGCCACTGACCTTGCAACTGCCCCACTTAGCTGCCAAGCTGAGCTGCTGAATCCCTTCCCCTTTCCCCCTTCCCCAGTTCCCCCTGCCTGAGTTCCTCACTGAGGAGTATATAAGACAGGGAGCTTGCTTCAATAAACGAAGACCTTGACAAATTGAGAACAGAATCCTGTTTGCCTGCTTGGTCTTCTTTCCCTCTCTTGCCCATGTTCTTTCAGGTGGTGCCCCTTCAGACCCTGGAATAACTGGACCTGCTGGGCGGGTTACAATGGCGCCCGAACCAGGCACCTGAAGTACAGCCAACTATTGGACGATGAAGCGTGGTCCCGGGACAACAAAAATAAAGAGAAGGTTCTGCTGGCTGTAGGACTCGGAGAGATCTGCAGGACAAGGAAGGCGCAGGTTCACTGTCGTCCAATAGACATGGGACAATCACTTTCAAAGGAAGAGAAATTCATACAAGAATTTAAACAGTCACTCAGGGAGAGGGGAGTAAGAGTTAAAAAGAGAGATTTAGCTGAATTTTTTTGTTTTATATATGAAAAATGCCCTTGGTTAGTTTTTACCAGCCCAAAAATTCACCCTAAAACTTGGGACAAGGTGGGCAAAAATCTTAATGAGATGATTAAAGCAGGTAATTCTGTGCCAGATATTGTTATTAATTACTGGTTCCTGATCAGGGACGTAGTAAATAGCCCAGAAAAGGGAGGGGATGGTTCCCCGTCTCATTTTTTGTCTTTTTTTATTAATTTTTATTTATTTATTAAAGATTTCTGTCTCTTCCCCACCGCCGGCTCCCATTTCCCTCCCCCTCCCGCAATCAAGTCCCCCTCCCTCATCAGCCCAAAGAGCAATCAGGGTTCCCTGCCCTGTGGGAAGCCCAAGGACCACCCACCTCCATGGTTCCCCTCTCTTAACAATAGTCACTGAATTCTTAGAGGCCTCCCGCTGGCCCTAAAGAGGTCGTGAATGAGAGCCCTTCCCCCTGTCCTTCAGTTATAATTAGTATTCCCGAGGACCCCTCTCCAGGACCTGTTAAACCTACAACAGCTCTCCAAAAAGGGGGACTGTGTCCGCTGGAGATAAGAACCATAAAACGCCTAAAGGCATTTATCCATCGCTGGCCGCTTTTAAAGATGAAACCAAACCCAGCTGGAGAGATTCGGAGCTTTTGGATTCAGAGTCTGAGAATGAGCTACAGGAGAAAACGGCTAGATATGGGGAAGAGAGGTATGATAGAGGAGGTAAAGCTCCTCGAGTCTTTCTCAGTCAGCCAAAAAAGGCAGCCGCTGCCTTATGCCTTGGCCACACCTGATAGCATGCCTTTGCCCACTCCTTTGATTCAGGAATTGTTTAATACAAAGGCTGCCCTTAAGGCGTAAATAGGGTGTCTCAAGCAAGTGCTTACATTACAACATGAAGTCTCAGACATTTCCTCTCAGATTCGGGACTTACAATTCACTATGGGAAAGGGCCTGACTTTAGACAGACGGGCAAACTCTAGACTTAATCGTAAAATGGCTTATCCAGTCCTGACCGGGCTGCTGAGCCTCAACCTGATACCACAGAAGACCCCCTGGGGCTAGAATCAAGACAAGAGGACAATTATGATCAGGATCAGGTGGACTCTGATTTGGAGGAAGAACCTGAACAAAATGAATGTGAAACCTTTCAGCCCATATATTAAAAATTCAAAATTAAACATATTAAAGATCTTCACTCTGCTATTAAAAATTATGGGATAAATGCACCTTTTACTTTTTCTATATTGGAGGGATTAGCAGGAGAAGGATTTATGCTGCCCACAGAATGGAGCAAGGTGGTCCAGTCAGTGCTGACTAGAGGACAGTACCTGACCTGGAAGTCTGACTTTCTCGATAGGGCTGAGGCCCTTGCTAGCAAAAATAGAAGAAACCCATTAAGTCAGACTGCCTCCTGGACAGCTGATAAAATCGCTGGCAAAGGCAAGTTTGTGGATGAAAAGAGGCAAAGGGGATTATCATCGGGAATACTTTCCCAGACAGCGCAGGCTGCCCTGGCAGCTTGAAGGGCAGTTCCCTCCACTGGCGCCACTACCACCCTGCTCACTAAGATCATTCAGGGGCCTCAGGAGCAATATGCCCAGTTTATGGGTCGGCTCCAAGAAACAGCAAAAAGCATCTTGGGGCCGGAGGAAATGGAAGGGACTTTGGTCAAACAACTCGCCTTCGAAAATGCCAATACAGCATGCAAAGCTGCATTAAGGGTAAAAATGAGGGACACTGATGTTTCTGGTATGATTAAAGTGTATAATGAGGTAGATAATTTTGGCCATCAGCTATCAAAGTCAATCAGCCTGGCCATCGGCGCAGTATTTAAGGGACAAAGGGGACACTCTCGCCCTGGAGGGAAGACGTGTTTCGCCTGTGGTCAGCTGGGACATTTTGCAAGAGAATGCCCCTCTCAACCAATGGTTGGAAATAATCAAAATGGTCCTGAGAACAGAGGGGGTGGCCTCCCTTTCCCCCCCCCCCCGCCCCCATGCAGGCAGGGCAGACATTGGGCAAGTGAATGCAAATCCAAGACCGATAATATGGACAACCCCCTAGCCCCTGTCTCTGCTACTGCAGTTCAGGGAAACGGGGAAAAGGGCCCCGGTTGGGGGCCCTTACTCACCAATTCTGTACCAGCCAGCTCAAACACCAGCGCCCAATGTAAGGGGAGCAGCCCAACGTCAAAACCCCTTTACAGGGCCACCCCAGGGAGCACAGGATTGGACTTGTGTCCCTCCTCCACCCGGATTATAACCCCTAAGGATGGGACCACAATTATAGAGACCGGTCTATATGACCCTCCTCCTCCTGGCAGGCCATCTTTTCAACTCTTGATCATGTACATCGTCCATATTCAGGCAAATAGATTTTCCCCCATTTTTAGTTGAGTCCTTTTAGTAAGATTTATTTCTATTCTGATGTGAAACATTAATGTTTATTTTGACCTACTCGAGTATTTTTGAGATAAATACTACACTTTTATTAAGTATGATTTTATCTAAATACATATCAATAAATTAAATGTGCTGCTATTTTACTAAATAATTTTGTTTATTTTCAAAAGGGATAGACTTCCTTTTTGTGATTTCAGTGTATTGCTTTGCTACCATGTTAATTCTGTCTTATAAAACGAGTCAAAAGTGTTTTCAACTATTTTTTTAAAGAGCTTACAAAAACATAACTGTACCCTTTTTCTTTCTTCCATATAAGATCTGCATATATAACACAACCTGGATTGGAACTTGCTAAAATAGCCTCCTCTCAAGTGTTATGATTATAGGGATACACAACTGCACTATGTACTTCTCTAAGTCTTTAGTGGAAGTCATAGTGAACCACACAGTCTTGTTATTTGTTGGGAATTTTGCCTATGTAATTAATATTTTTATTTGTCATGGTTATGTTCTGGCTTCTTAGTTTTCTTCAGATAGTTGTACATTTGGGTTCTAGGAAATTGTACATGTCATCTAGGTTATTAAACTTTCCAACTTATTATATTCTACTACAATTGTTTCATTGTTTCTACAGAAGTAAGACTAACATATTTTTTACTTTCATTTCATAGCATATATATGTATATATATACTCTATTTAATAAGTATATATACTCTATTTATATATATTTAAATATTTATATGTATAAGTATATATGCTCTATTTTTTCATTGCCACTCCAATTTTTGTCAAATTTGTTTTTCTTTTCAATCTAAATTTTAGATTCTTTGATTCCCTTTTGTTTGTTTTCACTTTCATGATTTTCTTTAAAGATTTACTTTGTGCTTTCCTTTTCCAACTTTTCATTTCCATTTAAAGGTCCTTAATGTTTGAATTTAGATTGTTGACCCTTTTGAGGCTACTATTTGTGTGCTCCTGATTGTATCCCGAGTATCATCTTTTAGTAAAGATAAGTGATAAATCCTCTAAAGCCCACACTACACAACCTGCCTCTCAAATAATGAAACTATAGTAGACATTGAGTACCTTGGGAGGCCACCTCTAAGTAAGTAGATTCTATTTGATTTAGAAACATGATCATTCATTCTCAAAAGACAAAAGTAAACATAGACTTGTATACAAATGCACCCTATCATTTATAAATGGTAATCTCTAAACAGAAAGATTTGAATGTATTTCTGAAAAAAGATGCTAAAACTTAATGATCCTGATAAAATGTAGTCAATCATAATTATCCTAAAATGTTATATACAATTGAAATAACTGTATTTTTCTGCCAATTGCTAATTTTTCCACAAATTACTTTTATATAAATGTAGAATACTCAGCATCATGAAATTCTCTCTAATCATTAGTTTTATTTAATCTTTTTACATTTTTATGCATTTCAAGGTGTTTCATTATTTTTCTATATTTTCTTCTTTGATTACCACTCTCTTCTAATCTCGCTGATGGAGTTATTTATTTTCCTCTTGCTATTGTTTTATCATTCTGAGAAAAATCTCAGGTCCTTAATAATTATGTTACCAATATTCAAATACATTTCTCAGTCTATAAATATAAGTAATTTGATAATCTTCTACACCAAACATGTATAACTCTATTAACTATATAAAATAATCATTTGATACATTAAGACAAAGCCAAATCAAATCACACAGAGAATATATATTGAAGAGTTCTTCAAAATTCACGATGCTTTAAATACTTATTAGGCACTTACTGTGTGCCTGGTCTTCACATACATTATTTTAACTAAGTTTATTGAGTAATTTAGCAACTTTATATTGGACATCTGTTGTCAATGCTACAGTCCCAATAAACAGTTCTTTTTATGGGCAAGGAAATAGTAAATACATACTTGAAAACCACATAGCTAGTTAAAGAAAGACAAGGTTAAATCCAGTCAAAATTGTCAGGATTCTTTCCATGTACAGCTGATGTAACGTTTCTGTGGTTGGTCTGACAGCAGTCACCAAACTGTTTTATTTTTTAAATTATTAATGTTTAATTTCTTCAGTTTTCATCATGTCATTTAAATTATAAGTTACATCATTTATAACTGATTTTGTTCTGGTTTCACATTTTCAAATTTCCTTTTTTTTATTGAGCTCTACATTTTTCTCTGCTCCCTCAGTGCCTCTCCCCTCCCCTTCAACCCTCTCCCATGCTCCCCATGCTCCCAATTTACTCAGGAGATCTTGTCTTTTTCTACTTCCCATATATATTAGATCTATGTATGTCTCTCTTAGGGTCCTCATTGTTGTCTAGGATCTCTGGGATTGTGACTTGTAGGCTATTTTTCTTTATGTTTAAAAATCACTTATGAGTGAGTACATGTAATAATTGTCTTTCTGGGTCTGGGTTACCTCACTCAAAATGATGTTTTCTAGCTCCATCCATTTTCCTGCAAAATTCAAGATGGCGTTGTTTTTTTTTCCTGCTGTGTAGTACTCCATTGTGTAAATGTAACACATTTTCCTTATCCATTCTTCAGTCGAGGGGCATTTAGGTTGTTTCCAGATTCTGGGTATGACAAACAACGCTGCTATGAACATAGTTGAGCACATGTCCTTGTGGCACGATTGAGCATCCTTTGGATATATACCCAAAAGTGGTATTGCTGGGTCTTGAGGAAGGTTATTTCCTAATTTTCTGAGAAATCGCCATATCGAAGGAACAAGCATAGGACCAAACTAGTCCCTCTGAATGTGGTTGACAGTTGCATGGCTGGGGCAGACTGAGGGGTCACTGGCGGTGGCACCAGGATTTATCCCTACTGCTTGTGCTGGCTTTTTGGGATCCTATTCTCTTTGGATGGATACCTTGCTCAGCCTAGATATAGTAAGGAGGGCCTTGAACCTTCCCCAAAGCAATATGCCTTACCCTCTCTGAGGATTGGATGGGGGTGGGGTAGAAGGGTATGTAGAGGGAATGGGAGGAGGGGAGAGAGTGGGAACTTTGATTGGTATGTATAATGAAAAAAGAAAGTTTTCTTTTTTAAAAAAATCAAAAACAAACAAACAGAAACTTGGCTTAAAGACATGCTGACATGTCAAAAATTATGATAACCCTAGATTCCACAATGAAAGGTGGAGATATTAGGCAAGAAAAACTCAAGTTTGTGTATTTCTTGGGGTGGATAAAGAAGCTTTACCTTAATTTTTTATCTTTAGTAAAATAGGCATGGTTAAATTGTTGCTGGAGAGATAGTGCCGTAGAGGAGACTTGGCTGCATAAATATTGTGAGAATGAGACTGGCCCCTGACACACTGACAGTGTTGGAATTGTTTGAGACAGTATTTCTCTGTGTAGCCACTCGCTGTCCTGGAACTCATTTTGTAGACAGAGCTGGTTTATAAATCATAGGTTCACCTTCCTCGGTGTCCCAAGTGCTAGAAATAAAGTTATGGGCTACCATACAAAAAAAAATACTGTAAGCTTTCTCTTCTATTGGACCAGTTTATTCTTCTCTTCACATTCCAGAAGTGAATTGTTTTATTGCTATACATTGGTAATAAGTTTCAAAATCAGAAAATAATTTCTTCAACTTAACTTTTTAATTATTCAGGTTCCTTGAGAATTTATATGAAATTTAGAATAAATTTTCCTATTCATGTAAAAATTCCAGTAGAATTTTGATAGGTATGTAATTGAATCTATAGGCCATTTGGGGTAATACATGCATTTTAACTATAATTCACTGCTACAATCTATGATTATAATGTGTCTTTACATTTTTGATCGTTAATATTTTTGCCTGTATTTTCAAGTTTTCAATTTAGATAATCCTTCATTTTTGTTTAGGACTTTGTTCCTTTTTAAATAGCATGGAATTATTTATGAAATAAATAATGGAATGCTTTTTCTTATCTCCAGTTTTGATGGCTTTTGTATATGAAAATACTATGAACTTTTTGTTTAGATTTTGCTTTCTTAAACTTTGTTTAAGTGAATTATTCTAACCTCTTCTTGTGAAAGCTTTCTGGGTTTCTCTATATAAAGTTATGTCAACTGGAAATACATAATTCCATTTCTTTTCTGTTTTCAATTTGTACCTAATATAATCCCTTTCTTGCCTAATGTTTTGGTTAATACATCCAATGTTAATTTTAACAACAGTGACAAAGATTGAAATACTTCCTTGATCCTGACAATAAAAAGCTTTCAGTCTTTCTCCAATGGGATTTTCATATCTGCCTTTCCGTATTCAGGGAATTGTCTTGTATTCTTATTTAACTAAATGATAGTATCATGAAAAATATTGAATTTTGCCTGCAATAACTAAAGTGACCACTTATTTTTCTTTCTTTTTTCTGTAAACAACATATATATTGTTGAATGAGTTTCATTTTATAGAACCATTTGAGTCCCAGATTTAAGTCACACTTGACAGTAGCATATTACCCTTTTAATGTACTATTGAATTTAGTATGTTACTGTTTTGTAGATATTGTTGCCTTTACTCTGAACATTGGTAAAATATACATTTGTGTTATTATTATGCTATTTGATTTCTACTTTTTAATATAATATTCCTTGCCCCATGTTTCTTTTTATTTGCCTTTTATGGACTGGGCAGAAAGGAATAGTAGCTGTTGAACTTTATGCCATTATTTTACGTTATTATAAATTTTACTTTGTAAAATTCAAGTTATCAATATTTTGACCATAACTCCTTTTTTTTAAATTCCTCTTATTGGCTTAACAATATGGAGTTTGGTATTGTTATTCCCTTGGAAACTACAGCTCCCAGACTCCTCCTGGAGTACGAACACCTTGGCGCCCGCGCGCCCAGGTGAAGGCCATTCCTCCCAGATAACCTTGCGCCCCCCGTTAAAAGCGAAGGTCCACGAGGCTTCGCTCTCTTGGCCCCTCTCTTGGCCCCTCTCTTGGCCCCCCT